CGCGAATACCCTCGACAGCCCTCTGTTCTCGACAGCCCTCTGTGCCTTCGCGAATACCCTTGACAGCCCTCTGTTGCCTTCGACAGCCCTCTGTTGCCTTCGACAGCCCTCTGTTGCCTTTGACAGCCCTCTGTTCTCGACAGCCCTCTGTTGCCTTCGCGAATACCCTCGACAGCCCTCTGTTGCCTTTGCGAATACCCTCGACAGCCCTCTGTTGCCTTCGTGAATACTCTCGACAGCCCTCTGTACCTTCGCGAATACCCTCGACAGCCCTCTGTTCTCGACAGCCCTCTGCCTTCGCGAATCCCTTCTACAGCCAGCCCTCTATAGCCCTCGACAGCCCTCTGTTCTCGACAGCCCTCTGTACCTTTACGAATACTCTTGACAGCCCTCTATAGCTCTTATAGATCTTTATAGCCTGTACAGATCCCTTTTGCCCTTATAGATCCTTTTTAGATTAGACCTTAGATAGTTAATATTAGTGTTTATTAATACTTATAATTACTTAAATACATAATAATCTAAATACCTAAGTAGTAAACCTAAGCTATAAATAATCTTAAACTAGGTTTAAGCCGGTTTTAAGCTAGTTTTAAGCCGGTTTTAAGCCGGTTTTCTAGCTTAAACCCTTAAATATTTTACGCTTTATAACAGGACATAAAATTAAGCCTAACTTAAGCCTAACTTAAGCCTAACTTAAGCCTAACTTAAGATTAGCTTAAAACTAGCTTAAAACCAGCTTAAAACTAGCTTAAAACTAGCTTAAAACCAGCTTAAACTAGCTTAAACCTAGTTTAAAACTATATACTATAGGCACTACTGTAGCTATAAAGCCTAGCTTACTTCTTAAGGCTCTAGAGTTATTACTAGTTCTTTAAAATAGTAGTAAGGACACTATACTAGCTCTTAGTCTTTACGTCTTAGATTATATAAAGTTAATAAGTACTAGCCTATTAAAGGTTACGCTAGTAGAGCTTAGTTAGAGTAGTAGTATATTAATAGTATACTACTTGTATTTATTAGATACTAGTATTAAGGACTTTACTATTCTACTAAGGCTTAGTACGCCCTTAGCTAACCTTTTTCTTTAGAGTAGATATATTAGTAATATATATAAGCTAGGTAGTAAGTAAGTTAACTACTTTATTAACCTTATAAGGTATATCTAGTAGCTCTAAAGAAAGGTAAAGGCTTTTAGCCTTAATAGTTATAAGCTCTTAGTCTATTAGGGTCTAGCTCTACTCTAGTACCTTTATAGTTCTCTCTTAGTAGTCTCTTAGTTAAGTAATAACCTTAATTAACTAGAAGTAATAGTTAGAACCCTTATATTCTAGGTTACTTTATTAAGTATACTAGAGCGTTACTATAGCTTATATATAATTAATTATTAAATCCTGTTTACTATATTATTATTAGGTTAGTTCTCTTTAGAGAGTATATAGTAAGAGCTACTACTTATAGGCTAGATAAAGAAGGGTCTTTAATTTAAGGGTAGTCTTACTAGCTTTGTCTTAAAGTAAGTAATAAAGGTTTATATTACTTATAATAACCTATAGCCTTACTAGGTCCTTCTTAGTAAGCTACTAGAGTAGGCTAGTCTAGCTTATAGAGTTAAGAATTAATAAGTATATTAACTAGATAGTAACGCCTTATAAAGTAACGTAGTACTAGTTAATACCTATCTTTACTACTTAAGTAAGAAGTAAGTATTACTTATAAATATAGATAGCTATATAGCCTTTACTCTTATAGACCTACTAGTACTTTACCTATACTAAGTAGTAGACTGTCTTTGTTTAAGTATTATACTATAGCTCTTAAATAACTATAACGTTAGCTTTATAGTAATTATAAAGTACTATTAAGGTAAGGCTATTCTTTTTTATAGTATTCTAGTATACTATTATTAATTTTATTACTATAAGTCTAGAATCTATAAGTCTTACGTTATAAAAGGGTTACTAGACCCTTAGTTAGCTTCTTAGCTTAATATCTCTATAATGTTATAGCTCTAGACTATTACTATATCTAGTACCTTAATAAAAGAGCGCCTTCTTTTTACTAAAGTCTTTACTATAGGCTTCTTATTACTATCTAATTATAGTCTCTTAGTTACTATAATCTAAAAGCTATTATTACTATCTTATAAGGATACTAGTATAACGCTAAGTACCTAGCTAGTAAAGCTACTCTTAGATACCTTAAACTATCTAGGCTTTTATTAATATATAACGTATACTTACTTTTTTACCTTAAGGGCCTTTAGATACTAATAGTCTTATACTATGTATAGTCTACTATAGTTAATGTATCTCTTTCTACTATTAAGTTAAGGGTAGTTCTCTTTACTTTAAGAGTATACTATACTTATATAGTAGCTATACTAGGCCTAGTTCTTATAAAATCGCTTAATATAACTAAACTAGTAGTACTAAAAGTATCTTTAGATTTGTAGGTTAGCTAAATATAGCTTATAGTTAAAGATCTAGGCTTACTAGACTAATCTTTAGTTATATAAGTACGTTACTACCTTAGTACTCTAGAAGTATAGTACTACTATTGTAAACTTTATTATAAAGGCCTTAATAAGCTTAACTTTAACCTTTATAACATATAGTATATAAGCCTAAATCTTTACTAGTAACGCTCTTACCTTTACTTATATAATCTAGTTAACTAGTAGGCCCTTTATAATTACTATAAACTTACTCTTATAAAGCTAGGCTATAAGCCTAAACGCCTTTTATACTTAGCCTTAATCTTAGAGTGTACTCTTTAGTATAGACTCTTTAAACGTAAGAATAGTATTACTACTAAGGTAGCTAGTAGGTTACTACTACCTTAGTACTCTTAATTACTATATTAGCTACTATTACTACTTTTATAGCGTTATAACGTACTAAGTCTTTTGTCTACTTATCTACTCTAATCTATAGCTCTCTAATCTACCTTTCTAGTATAACTTATACTCTTACTAGATATTAGTCTACTACTAACGTATAAGTAGCCTAAAGGGCTACTATTACTACTAGCCTCTAAAAGGCCTTCTTTAACATTAATCTTAACTATCTAACTATTACTAGGTTATTATTAAAGAAGGTCTTAAGAGTATATAAAGAGGTTACTATATTTACTACTTTTGTTTTTACTACTATTATTATTATTATTATAAGGTCGTATAAGAGGTATAACGCCTTTTTCTCTTTATCTAGTATTATGTAAGCCTTAATTCTTTATAGAATTATCTTTATCTTATTATTACTACTACTCTTACTACTTACTAGCTCTTTATTATAGTTTTTTACTAAGGAATAAGAGTACTAGCTCTTACTTATAAGTAAGTAGTACTAGCTTTATTTAAGTCTAGTATACCTACTATCTGTTACTATAGGCTTGCCTATAGTTTACTAGTACTCTAAAAGGTATCTAAAAGTACTAATTTTAAATCTATTATTTATTTTTAAGTTTTTAGAGTAGTAAAGAGCGTATCTAATTCTTTTTTAAAGTAACTATTTTTCTCTTATTATTATATAATAGTATACTTACTAGTGCCCTTAAGAGAACTTACTAAAGATAGTTAAAATAAGCTAGAAAGACCTAGAATCTACCTTAGCTAATAACTACTTAGTATTACTATAGAAATATATAAAGTAATATTATAAGCTAATAAGTAAGCTTTTAGTACTAGATACTCTTTAGTAATACTAAATATAAAAAAGTTAGTTAACTAAATTAAATACGTTATAAAAACTTTATATTATTATTGTTCTTACTACTTATACCTAATATATACAGAACCTTTATACTATATAAATCACGTAGTAAAACCGTACTAAAGCCAGGTAAAAACCTATATACTACTTCTTATAAATACTTTATTACAGCACTACTAAGGCGCTAAGACCTTATTACTACTCTACTAGAACTTAACCTTTTAGCCTAGTAATACTAAACATACTAACAAGACGCTAGTAAGACGCTAAAAGAACGCCGGCCGTTAACTAAGATTACTCTCTTTCTTTCTTAGCTAGGTAGCGCTTAGCTAGCCTAAACTATAAGAACCGGCTAGTAGATAGTAGCTAGTAGATTAGTATACACGTACTCTTTTCTCTCTTTATTACTACTATAAAGTTACAGAACGTCTATAGCGCCTTTAGGTAAAGTACTTACTATAAGGCCTATTACTATTAGTTAAGCTACTAGTAGTTAAGGACTAGGTAAGCTACTGTCTCTAGGGCCTTACTATAAGGGCACTAGAGGGTTACTACCTCTAGTACTTTACGTTTAAAAAGAAAGGCCTAAAGCCTAACCTTATTAGTATAGATCTACGTTAAAAGTAAGCTCTTGTACTTATAGAAGAGTAAGTACTTCTTAAGGACATCTACTAAAAGGGCAGGTAGTACGGCCGGGGTAGTACCCTAGTAGTACGCTAGTAAACTATTGTATTAGGTCTATTATGTCCTCTAGTTCTTTTATAAGGTCTCTTTTAGTAAAAAGTCCTTGTACTAGTCCTTTACCTATACGGCTTAGCCTGCCCTATACTTAAGTAACGTATAAGGT